CAAAGCGATTTGGATGCTCCCAATTTCCCATTCGGGGTTGGAAATAATTTGTGATTGGTTTTTCTCTGGGTGCTTTTGCCCTTTCTAAAAAAATATCACTATTCTCTGTATAGTCTAATCTTTCTGTATCTGGCCTGTGCTGTGTTCTTAGGGCTTGTGGATAGGATTTATTCCTTCTAGTTTCTTCTATTTGTACTCTCTCCTTTCTTTTGGCATAGCCTCCTCATTTTTGGTGGCTCTGTATTTGGTTTTAGAATGCCGTTCCCTATATATTAGGGATGTGCATAGGCAAAAAATTTGGTTCAGCACTTTCTCAATTCGGGACTTTCGTACTTTCGCAATTCGGAACTTTTGCAATTCAGGACTTTTGCAATACCCTAACCTTAACCCTATCCCTACCCGTAACCTGTTCGTAAAAAGCTTAGTTTATTATTTTGCTCTTCAAGCACTTGTGTTAATAAGGGTGATTTTTGTATACAGCTAGAGGCATATGCCTGCTTTAAGGGTGCTGACTGCAAAAGTTCCTGATTTTTATTATATTTATATAGCGCCAACAAATTACGTAGCACTTTGCAATGCATGAACTAACAAACATGTAATTGTAAACAGACAAGTTTGACACACAGAAACAGGGGTTGAGGTCCCTGCTCAATGAGCTTACATGCTAGAAGGAGTTGGGAAAAGTGGCACAAAAGTTAAGGAAGTATTATGGAAGTAGACTGGTAGAATAGTATTCAATGAAGACTTAGTGAGGGTTTTTTTCTGGAGTCATTAACAGTTTAGTTATGCTTTTGTGAAAACGTGATTTTTTTAAAATTTTTGGGGACGGAGTGAAGACTGGGTGAGTGTCTAATGGAAAAGGGAAGGGAGTTCCACAGGAATGGTGCCACCCTAGAAAAGTCTTGAATGTTAGCATCAGAGGTGGGAGTACGAACAGAGGATAGACGTGCCTTCGTCAGAGCGTTGGGGCCCAGACAGGACATATTTGTGTATTAGGGAGGATAGATAGGTGGGAGTAGCATTATGGAGTTATTTGAAAGCAAAAAACCAAAATTTTATATCGAGCCCTATATCTTACAGGAAGCCAATGCAGGGACTGACAGGGGGGTGAGGCGTGGGAGGTGCGAGCAGACAGGAAGATGAGAATGGCCACTGCATTCATTATTGACTGCAATGAGGAGAGTTTGGAGCATGTAAGACCACTGAGAAGCAGATTGCAGTAGTCAAGGCAGGAGGACAGTGGCATGGACCAGCACCTTAACTGCATCTGGCGTTTAGTAGGGGCAAATGCGCAATGTTTTTGAGATGGAAGTGGCAGGATTTGGCGATCGACTAGACATGAGGGATGAAGGAGAGTTCAGAGTCAAAGAGAACACCTAGGCAGCGAGCCTGCATGGTGGAGTTAATGGTAGCACCATTGACTTGGAGGGAGACAGACACAAGAGTAACAACACTTGAGGGAGGAAAGACCAGAAGTTCTTCTTTGAATAAGTTGAGCTTAAGGAAGTGGGTAGCCATTCAATAAGAAATAGCAGAGAGGCAGTCAGAGACACTAGTAGTGGGGAGAGATCAGGGGTGGACAGCTTTGCATGTCATCTACAAAGAAGTGATATTGGAAGCCAAAGGAGCTTTTGAGTTTACCAAGGGAGGCAGTATAGATGGAGAACAGTAGGGGACCAAGGACTGAACCTTGTGGGACACCAACATGGAGGAGTTGGGGAGAAAAAGCAGAGCCAGAGAAAGAAACACTGAAAGAGTGCTGGGAGAGGTAGGAGGAGCACCAGGAGAGAGCAATATCTTGTAGACCAAAATTTTGGAGGGCGAGAAGACGCTGTTGATGAGCACTAGTATCAAAAGCAGCGGAAAGGTCAATTAGAATAGAGTAGTGACCATGAGATTTTGCAGTGAGTAGAACGTTGGATACTTTGGTCAGAGGCATTTCCACAGAGTGCTTGGCGTGGAAACCAAACTGAAGTGGATCGAGCAGAGAATTGGAAAAAGGAGGTAGTTGGATGGGGAGTAAGGGTCAATGTTGGGCTTTTTAGAATTGGGGTTACAGTTGCATGTTTAAAGGGTAATGGAAATATGCCAGAGGAGAGGGAGAGTGAGACTTTTAGTGAGAGGCAAAGCAAGAGAAGGAGACAGACTAAAGATGAGATGCGAGGGAGTAGGATCAAGGGAGCAGGAGGAGGAGCAGGAGGACCGGAGTAGATCAGAAACCTCAACTACTCTAGCGGGTGCGAATGAACATAAAACAGCAGAAGGAGTGTGGCTGGGGGAAGTATTGTAAGGGGAAGGAGAGATCTCTTCTCTAATTGTAGAGATCTTGTCAGTGAAGTGAGTTGCAAAGTTTGTGGCGGTTAAGTTAGTAGGTGGAGGAGGAGGAACAATAGGGTGAAGAAGAGTTAAATGTGTGAAATAGTAATTTGGGTTCCCGGGAGAGTGTGGTTATGAGGGTATTGAAGTAATTTACTTTTGCAGAGGAAAGAGCCAAGCTGTAAGAGCACAGCATAAATCATAAACATTGAGTTGCTGGCCAACACAGGTCTACCATCCCCACCACCTCCATTTTTTTCTAGTAGCAGCTGCCTACAGTAGGAAGTATCAACGTTAGCTAGAAAAATCTATTGTGTATGTGTTATGATGAGAATGCAAAAAGACACAACTATGAGATACAACCATAATGCAATAACGAAGAACTAACCGGGCTACTTTGCATTTCGTAAACAAGCTTGCATCTCTTAAGATATTAATACTGTGTTTATCAGGAAAAACCCTCTGAATGAATTTGAAAGAATCTGCATTTTTTTCGGGGGGGGGGGTTTCGGTAGCAGGTAGGTTTACATATAGTGATCTACACACCTGACTAACCCTTCACGGATTTGAAATACAGACGCAGTGATGAGTGTTGCAGAGTGTAGCTGGATTTTTCAGCTTGTGCCGATATTTTTATTTTCAGATTGAAAATACACTGCCATACCCGCGTGGCCAGTAGGTGGCGCTGTGTGTGGAGACGCAGGTATAGGAAACTACATCTTATCCCTGCTTTTCTCCCCTGACTGAATCCTCAGGGGACAGCACAGAGTGCAGCAAGCAACTACCAGACTGCAGATACAGCCTACAGATCAGGTAAGTGAGAGATGGGGGGATCCACCTACAAATCAGGCTAATGAGGGATGGGAGAGACAGCCTAGAGGATGGGTCAGCAAGGAGCAGGAAGGTAAAGTAAGTGAAGGAGCAGAAAGCAGAAGGGACATCAAGGAGCAGGAAGGGGCAGCAAGGAGCTGGAAGGTAAAGCTGCACAAAGGTAAAGTAGAAGGAGAAGAAAGGGTCAGCAATGAGCTGGAAATGGCAGCAATGAGCTGGAAGGGGTAGAAGGAGCACAAACGTGAATTAGGAGAAAGAGCAGGAATGGACATCAAGGAGCAGAAAGGTTCAGCAATGAGCTGGAATGGGCAGAAGGAGGACAATGGTAAAATAGGACAAGGAGCAGGAAGGGTTTGCAAGGAGCAGAAAGGAGCTGGAAGGGGCAGAAGAATCACAAAGGTAATGTAGGAGAAGGAGCAGAAAGGGATCAGAAAGGTGAAGGAGCCAAGAAGGAGAAGATAATGAAAGAAGACTGTGTCAAATGAAGGAGAAGAAAAGGAGCATGAAGGACAAGTAAAGTGAACCCTCCACTTTATTCTGGGCACCACATCATAAGGCGTTGGCACCTGGGCCTGGCAGTAAAACTTTGGACCTTCTCATCTCCCCAGGTAAAAAAAATATTAGTGTTAATGTGTTCCCTTTTATTTACTGAGTGTCAGAAAGCACAGAGTGCCGCTGAGTAGAGGTGCCACTGATTGGCTAGAGCAGTCAGCTGGCACTCTAAGCCAATCAGTAGCTCCCCATTCATAAACAATTAAAACCTTTGTATGAACTGGGAAGTAGCGATTGGCTTAGAGTGTCAACTGACTACTCTAGCCATTCTGCTGCACCGATGCTGGGCGTCAACCTGCACTTCCTGACACTCCGTTTCAGAAGCCAAATACCACTGAGCGACCTGGAGGTGGAGGAAGCATTTGGGGTTAAACCATTTGAGAGTGGCTTAACCTCTCAAATGAAAGAGTGCCTAGGGGGCCTCCTAGAATCATAGTATTTTTATTTAGATGAAGTTATGGTGACCAGAATGTTCCTTTAATTTGATTAAAGCAACACTATAGTGTCAGGAATACAAACATGTATTCCTGACACCATAGTTGTGAAAACGCTATTCACCCTGGCTTTATGTGATAATGATTATGCTCCTCCCCTTCATGACACTGTCAAAAAGGGACCGAGCATGGATGTCATTACAATTATGCCACCCCCTCCCCCTTCCCCCACTCTGGAAAAATTCCTGCTGACGCCCATGGTAATTAGCGTTGTTTGTGAGCCAATGTGCAATTTACTGTTTATGTCAGTTGTCTAGGGTTGAGCTCCTGTCCAAACATACATGTTATTGTTAAGTCAGAGTGTGTGTGAATTGAGTGTGGTTTAATGTAGCTGTGAGATGAGCCTGTGTGTTAGTGTATGCAAATGTGAGACTAACATATATACAGATATGTGATTTTGTGAATGGGATGTGTTTGTGTGTAGTTGTTGCTGGGTGTGTATACATTCTTGAACTCAATGTTAGTGACTTGTGCCTCTTTGAAGTTGCTAAACTTAAGTGGCCGGAGTCTCAATACATATTTTAGTTATATGTGACTGACATGAGTTATTATGCAGTTTACAGCTATATTTCAGTTACATTAGTGGAACAAATCTCATCTTTAATAAAAAAGTAGGGTGTTATCCTATTAAAGTAAATGGAAAAGGTTGTATGAAGTGAAAGTAAGAAAATTAAAATGGGAGGGATGGCATAAAAATAAGGAATATAAAGAGGGAAGAAAATAAAAATGAATAAATAAGAGAGCAATAAACATGAATATAAAGTTGAGTTTTATGAAATGGCAGAATGTGTAAAATAACTGAAGTGGGAAAGGAAATATATACATGAATTTGAGGTATATGATAAAATGATTTATTTATTATGTGTGTTCCACGTCATGTCTAAAAATAAAAAGGGTCTCTCTTACTCAAAAAGGTTAAGATCAATTCTATCAGGCACGCAGTGAGTATGCATGCTAGATTCTTGTTTTCAATAATATATAATACAACAGTTTTGCTTTTTAATTTCTAGAAAAGTCAATAAACCTCCAATAATTTTCATGAAGATAGTACGTAGTCTGAATTATGCAATCAAAATTTATTCACTTTTAGATAAGGCAACATTTTATTTAGTTTTAGATAAGGCATAATTTCATTATTGTCTAGTAGAAATCTGTGATTCTTCTAAAAGAGCTAACTCTGCTGTTTATTCCTCCCCAGTCATTGAATCTCTTGTAATCTCCTGGTCTCAGGTAGTACTGACGACCTCTGTAGTTTGGCTGTTCATAAAATATCCAATGTCCATCAAGAATCTTACAGGAGTGAACATCATGATGACGAAATTTTTCAAAAACATGAGGACAGTCTTCTGAGAACTCCATCGTATGGCCTTTAAAGTCTTCCTTTTCATGGAGTCTTATTTTGTAGGAACCTTGATGCTAAAATTGGAAATGTTAAAAATATTAAAATTAAAATATCTTATAACTAATAAACACGAGTCTCTATGTTAACTTTAAAATTGTAAAATATTAGCATATCTTTTTTTTTTAAAGCAATGGCTGCATTGCTAGTATATAAATATATCATAACATAACATTTGTGGGCACTTTGCAGACAAACTTCAAAATTACAATTATGTAAATTTATATATGTGAATTGAAGACAGTATACAGTGTAATTAATCTTGCAATATCTTACACAGGGTTTTAATTTTTTGTATAAAAACAATGAAATATAATACATTTGTATAAAATGGTCAAATACCTTGCTTATAGGTACTTGCAAGGACCCTGAAGGAATTCATCACATTGCAGCTTACTAAAATATTGCAACAAAATGTAAAAATGCCAGCATTTTAGCATAATGCCCACAAACAGTAAATAGAGTTAGATAATTATTTCTAAAATCTTGAAATAGGCATTGAAAGCCATGTATCAGTGTTTGCAGATGACACAAAACTTTGTAAAGTAATAAAATTTGAGCAGGATATTGCTTTGCTGCAGAGGGATTTGGATAGATTGGGGGACTAGGCACTAAAATGGCAGATTAAATTTAACACAGAGCAGGCCCGGACTGGCCATCGGGCACACCGGGCAAATGCCCGGTGGGCCGCGGTGGCCATGGGCAGAGACCGGCAGGGGAGGTCCCAGGATCTCCCCTGCCGGTCTATGCAGGGCCGGCGCTGTATTCCATGGAGGGCCGGTGGGGAGATCAAAGCTCTCCCTCACCGGCCCATTTAAATTGACCTGCGGCTGGGGAGGGAGGGAGAGGACCCGGCGGAGCTCTATCTTGCAGCTCCGCCGGGTTCCTCTCGCGAGATCTGGCGCATTGCTATCGCAACGCCCCGATCTCGCGAGAGTGAACTCTAGCCCGCAGACTAGAGTTCACTCAACACTGAACCACCAGGGATGATGTAACCGTGCCGGTCCCCCCTCCCCCTCACCAGCGTACCAGTCCCCCCGGTACGCTGCTTAATTTTATTTTCTACCACCCAAACACACACAATCCCTTATAATATTCACACATAGCACTCACACCCAGCACTATCACACTCAGCACTATCACACACAGCACTATCACACACAGCACTCTCACACACACAGCACTCTCACACCCATCACTCTCTCACACCCATCACTCTCTCACACCTATCACTCTCTCACACCCATCGCACTCTCACACACCCATCACTCTCACACACACAGCACTCTCACACACACAGCACTCTCACACACAGCACTCTCACACCCATCACACCCAGCACTCTCACACCCATCACACATAGCACTCTCACACCTATCACACCCAGCACTCTCACACCATTACACACATCACTCTCACACCATCACACACAGCACTCTCACACCCATCACACATAGCACTCTCACACCTATCACACCCAGCACTCACACACAGCACTCTCACACCCATCACACCCAGCACTCTCACACACAGCACTCTCACACCCATCACACCCAGCACTCTCACACACAGCACCCTCACACCCATCACACACAGCACTCTCACACACACAGCACCCTCACACCCATCACACACAGCACCCCCACATCCATCACACACAGCACCCCCACACCCGTCACACACAGCACTCACATACTGCACCCTTCACATACACACTACATCCCTCACAGATACCCACTGCACCAAACACACACACACAATACTTCCGAACATATTTATAATTATATATATATATATATATATATATATATATATACATACATATACATTTACACACATACACACATACACACACACACATACTACAGCACCCCTCACACACATACTGCACTCCTAAACACATTACGTTCCAGACACACTCTAGATCCCTTACCCAACTATGGATCATATACGCACACTAGATCCCTTTATACACTCTGAATCCATTATATACACACACACACACACACTAGATCTCCTACACATTCTGGGTCCTTCAAACACACTAGACTCCTGTATACACACACACACACACACTGCACCATCTACACACACACACACACACACACACACACACACTACATTCCTAAAATACACACTCTGGACCACTTATAAACACACTAGATTCATTGTAAACAAACACATACTACACACCGAAACACATACTATCTACAACCCCTACAAACACTACGTCACCTATATACTCACACACACACACTATAGCCTGTATGCACACACTTACTACATCCCCTATACACACATTCTCTACAGCGCCTAGCCATATATGCATCACATTACACCACAAACACAACACGACTAAAACCGACACCACACACCACAATCGGCTCACTCTACCCACACGCAATCCCACAAGCAGGCTCCAAACACATGCATAATACTCTTTCCTGGCCCTTTTGTCTCAGGGTATCCATTTATAGAGACACCAGAGACAAGTTGCAAGGAAACAGAGTGCAAGCATGTTATTAAATTTGCTTGCACTGTGCAGAACAAATACAGGGCTTTTTTAATCATGCTAGAGCTCTTTAGCAGAGTTCTGCGCATGGTCTGCCCTGGAAGAGCATTGAACCAACATGCTCACTTTGAGAGGGGGCGTGTTTGTCATTGGTGATGACGAAACACAACCTCTCTGCCCCACTCCCTTCTTAGTGGGCCGCTGTGATAAAAAAATGCCCGGGCCGAATTTTTCTCCCAGTCCGGCCCTGACACAGAGTAATGCAAAATTATGCACTTTGGGGTTAAGAATGCACAAGCAACTTACACACTAAATGGTAGTGAATTAGGGATAACCACACACGAGAAGGATTTGGGAATTGTTATAGACAACAAATTAAACAGTAATATGCAATGTCAATCTGCAGTTGCTAAGGCCAGTAAGGTTTTGTCATGTATAAATAGTGGCATATATTCTCGGGATGAAAATATAATTTTGCCTCTTTATAAATCGCTGGTAAGACCACACCTTGAATATGCTGTGCAATTTTGGGCACCTGTTCTAAAGAGAGATATCATGGCACTAGAAAAAGTGCAGAGACGAGCTACAAAATTGATAACAGGAATGGAGCATTTTAGTTACGAAGAAAGGTTAAAAAATTTAAATCTGTTTAGTTTGGAAAAACGGCGCCTGAGAAGGAATATGATAACATTATACAAATATATTCAGGGCCAGTACAAACCTTTATCTTGAAATCTATTCATAAACAGGGCTATACATAGGACACAAGGTCACACATTTAGTCTGGACAAAAGGAAATTTAGTCTAAGGCAAAGAATTTTTTTTTTTTACAGTAAGAGCAATAAGGATATGGAATTATCTGCATGAAGAGGTGGTTTTGTCAGAGTCTATACAGATGTTTAAACTGCAATTGGATAAATACTTGCAAAAACATAACATACAGGAATATAATTTCTAATTAGTGGGATAATAGCTGCTTGATCCAAGGAGACATCTGACTGCTATTTTGGGGTCAAGAAGGTTTTTTGCCTTCTTTTGGATCAACAGCATAAACATATGTGAGGAAGGTTGAACTTGATGGGCGCAAGTCTCTTTTCAGATATGTAACTATGTAACTATGTAACTATGTAAAATAAAGATATTTAAAACTTTTACTGCAATTTTTAACCATCTCTGGATTGATAATATAATGCTGATAGTAAAATGATAGTCTATTTAGTGCTACACCTCCCTAACTGCAGTGATGATGTGACTCATTGAAACTTCCAGTACTGTTTGAAATTTTTAGCAGGTATTATATCAGTGACTAACGGCTTCTGGCTTAGAAATTTGTTCCTCAACAGTCTGGTAGTCATAACTATGAATTGTAAGGGAACCTGTATGGATTATATTTCATACTGCAAAATATGAAAAGAAAAAGTTATGCTCGATTTCTCAAGTGCTCTGTTTGTATTTTGTTTTAGTTAGTATTAGATAGTAATGTATTGCACTCTATTATTGTATTAGTTTGTATTTTAATTCATAAAATACAAGCACAAAATGTATGAAAACTGCACAAACACAATGTAATTAAATTACAAATATTGCTTAGTAGATCATATATTATCAAGCATGCAAAAAATATAAGAAATAAAAGGTAAGGAGTAAACATTATGATTTGACAATGTTAAATACAGATTATTCATGCAATATTATCTGCAACAAAAAAACCAACATAAATCTATACACTAGCTAATGAAGTGTTACTTAAAGTCACAACTGCTATTTACACTTTAGAACAGGGCTGTCAAACCTACTGTCCACACAGGCAGCATATGGCTATAGATGCTATAGTTGCCAACTGTCCAGTTTTAATAGGACCTTGTTTTGGGCTCTCGTCCTGGCAAAAATGGGTCCCAGGATATGTCTCGCATTGTTGGCAACTACACTGAGTTGTTCCCTTGTGCAGCAACTGTGCTGGAAAGAAGTGATTACAGCACATAGAGAACCAAGTCATAAAGAGCAACCTGTGTCAGCATATGGGAAGTGTAACTGCTGCAGTTGCGCAAACAAAAATTGGCATGTTGGGGAGGTAAGAGGAGCCAGAAAGGTGTAGTGGCAGCCAAGAGCTCTTCTATCTGAACAACAGTTGACCTCTGTCACAATACTGGCAGCTGCTGGTGAGTTTGCACTCTGTATGGGTCAGTGAGTGAGTTTGTCAGTGACTGTGTGTATGGCTTAGTCTGTGTGTTCATATGGGTTAATCTGTGTTTGACCATATGGATCTGTGTTTGTGTGCATGCCCATATGGGTCAGTTTGTGTGTATATGTATTTGTCAGTGTTTGTGTGCGTGTCTATATGGGTCAGTAGATGTGTGTGGGGGGGGGGGTCAATGCGTTGACAGTGAGTGTGTCCATATTGGTCAGTGTTTGTGTATGTTTAAGTTAGTGTATTGTCACCAATAACATGTTATTTTGAAATTGCATAACATTTCATCTATCAAGGTTTATCTATAGCAAGTTTGCAAGCAAATTTATAGACTAGGGGAAAAACATATTTAAAAATTTCTCCAACTTGACAATGGAAAGCAGCAAAGACCTCCCACATGTGTCCTTGTGCTCAGCACTGTATTTAGTGAGAGGCCTTGGGCGGCACTTTTGTGGGGGGAAGACAAAACATCAGACCCCAAATGCACTGTTGGATGCCTTGACAGGCTTTTGTCCTGAAGGGCCCAAGAGCTGGCCTGCTGGCCATCCTAGGGGCCCACAAGGCTGGCCTCTGCTCATGTTGGAGGTGGTCAGCGAGGGAACCCGGTCACCTGAGCTCTTCCTGCCCAGCTCTCACGTACCCCTCAGAGATGCTGGAGCCGGGATATGACGTCTCCGCATCACTTAGCAGCATGTGAGAGAGCTGAGCAGGAAGATCATACACAGCCTCCATTGACCGGCCACTTGGCACTAAAAGGATCCCAACTGGACCCCAGGGAAATAAAGCATCCTCTCCAGCACTCCCAAAGGTAGGGAGGCTGGGTGGAGTGAAATAAAAAGAGTGCATCAGTGTGTGTCTGTCAGTGTGTCTGTAACCGAGAGTGTGTATGTTTGTCAGTGAGTGTGTATGTCTGTCGATGTGTGTCTCTCACACTGAGTGTGCGTCTGTCAGTTAGTATGAATGCATTTCTGTAAGTGAGTGTGTGTAACTTTGAGTGAGTGTAACTGAGTCAGTGAGTGTGTATGTGTCTGCAAGTGAATGCGTGTTACAGTGAAAGTGTGTGTTGGCTAAACAGTTGTGCCAATGACTGTGTATCTAAATAGAAGTGGAAGTGCACTCTACCCCTCAATTTGGAATCCAGGGTGCTTCATGGAACGTCCCAGTACTCAATAGGACCAATAATAGATAAATGTAGCTTGAGAAAAGCCCTGTCAGGGCTGAAACATTGCTATGTAGTTCCTGGTTCAAATAAATTGCCTTAACATTGGAACCTGTTTGGAGTGCCTGGATTACTTTCTACATTTAATGACTGTGTATCTGTCAGTGAGTGTATGTCAGTGTAGGCATCAGTGAGGGTGTGTGTCTGTCAGGCAAAGAGCGTGTTGGTTTTAAACAGGAAGAGAAATTTTGATTGGGTGGAGGTGTCCATGTTTTGTCATGCCTAGGGCAGCACAAAACCAAAATATACCAATGCTTCTGCTTTCCACACATATCAATGACAGCACATAGTAACCATATAAAAACATGTCTACATTAACACACAGACACTACACCTGTGCATTTTAACACCAACACTACACACAATACACTTGTGCCTCAATGAGCCAACACTAACATAAATACACCTATGCATTGAAACACCAGCACTACACACAAATACACCCTTGCATTTACACACACCTATGTCATACAAAAACACTCCTATATTTAGACAATCCATTGTGTTGTCTGCTTTTCCTTTTCAGTCAATTCTTTATTTCCAAATGCAAACAAACAAGTCCAACTTGACAAATTCTATTCCAGCACCATGCCTCGTCGCCTCCACATATTTCTGTTTTATTCAAAAGGGATACTGAAGGGAGTCATGACTTGGTTTAAAAAAAAAAAAAAAAATAGTATAGCATTAGTTTTTCTGTGCTAACCCCTAAAATTATTTTTTCTCATTACCACCAATTTTCTTTTGCCTTTCCTACAATTTTGGTATGATTTAGTATGATACACCTTTTGTTCATACATACGTTTTCCTCTCTATTGTTGTAATAAAACGTAATACACTACATTTATAATTATAACAAACATAATATTATTATAATAAGTCTTGTATGTGTGCACACAGTTACTCTCTCTTTTTATTGTTGTAAGAAAGTAATAAGTTACATTTGTGGCATTATGTGTTCTTTTTGCCACTTTTTTCTTGTTTGCGCGTGTGCGTTTATATAAACTTTATGAATACTTTTGAAGGCTAGTTCCAGATGAGTTGGTAATTGTTATTTACAATGATGTATTCCCATTATCCTAATGCATATCTTCCTATAACAATCTCATGAAACTTACTGATGTCATAATCAATAATAAAAAAAATTAAAGAAAACACATCAATAATGCAATAAATATTCTGAGTTGTGGTCTTCACATATACAATCTGTTGTGATGTTAAATGAAGTGCCACTAAGTACATAAAGTTAAATTTAACCCCTTAAGGACCACATGAACTTTGCCTTCATCCCAATCTTGTTCCTAAAGACCATATGTATGCCTTACGCCAATATGGAAAATCCTCAAAGGTGTATTTAAATTTGAGCTACCCTAGGCTACACATCATGACACCCAAATTTAAAACATAACTTACACATATTTTCACCCACACGTGCCAAACAGGCACATTCAACTGCCCTAAATAACATTTACAAGATAAGACATACACACATGCATAATACTCTCAGAAATATATTTGTATTCATATATTTTAGCAAAACGGGATTCACTTTTTAAATCCACCTTTGGCCCTTAGAAAGAAAAAACATTTAATCTCTTTGAGGAATGAATGTAATAACTGACATTTACTCTATAACACATACAGAGGTACTCAAAACATCTTACTGGCACATATACACACACAACCTCATCTACCAATCACAATCTCATGTACTAGATGAGCTGCTTGATTCAGCAGGTGTCAGATACTGTTGCAGAGGGCCAGACGCTATCCCAGTGCACATTAAGGTGGCACAGCTGGATTACCTTCTCGTTCTTCAGGAGTTTGCTGATGTGTACTAGGCATTTGGTGGGTTCTATCAATCATAATCTAGCAGTAGCTATTGAAAATATATGTATAAAGAAGCTGTGCATCTACAATTACTTCAAATTCTTTTTTTTTCCCCCCAAGAGTTTCTTAATGTCAAAACAAACACTTTAGACTGTGAACTCGTTTGAGTAGGGTCCTTATTAACCTATTGTTCCTGTAACATTTTGCGATTGTCTCATTTACTGTTACATTTCCCCCTTTTTTTAATATTGAGTGTCTGTGGGGGGGAGGGGAGGGGGGGTGGGGTGCTGTGGAATAAGTTGGCCCTATATAAATACCAAAAATGATAATAACTACAGAAAGAAAGGCATACCTGTGGAATCATGCGACAGGACTTGACAGAATCATTGTAGCCCATCCAGTTTTGGTAGTCTGGATAGTTACCTCGTTTGAGGTAGTACTGAAACCCCATATACCCAGGACGCTCATAAATAATCCAACAGCCACTTAGAACCCGAACAGAGTTGCAACGACTGAAAAAAGATTGCAAATCACTGTGGTCACTGCTGCACTCATAGGAGTGACCCTGGAAGTCCCTCTCTTCGTAGAAGATTATCTATAATGAAGAAAAAATATTGAGTATTGGCACAAAGCTGTTACATCAACTGAAAAACTATGTTTTAGAGGTTACAAATATTATGAAATATTACTGGAAAAATATCTAGGATTTTGCCAACATGTTAAGTAAGTTCACATCATAGAGCACTTCATATTAGATAAAATAATACCTTTCCCATTTTAATATGAGTTACAATGTCATATGCCAGTGTATAGTGGATTCTATCCTGGCAATCTCTTTATATATCTCATGGTCTGCTAAAGCTGCATAAAAATACAAAAGGTGCATTGTTTTCTGTGTACTAAGGAAAACGTATAGTACTTTCCATTCTACACTTTGCTAGAATTATTTATTCTTTACATTGTTTTCCACATTCACCATTTGTCACCAAAATGAAATAAATGTTTATCTGTACTATTATGTTAAAACTGTATTTAGCACCCAATTTTGTAAAGTGGGCATTTCTATAGACAATAGAATTAAGTTTATGGAATTTGATGAATTAATTTTAAAAAGGAAAAAAAAATTAGTGATTCGGTTAAATTTGTGACATATATTCCATTGTTGATTCTCTTGTTATCTCTGCAGCATTCTGAATTGATTAACTAATTAATTTATTAGTTGTGATGAAATGAAAACTGAATTTGCAAAAAATTTCTGCCAGAATAAAAGTTGTCTATATGGTTGGTGATTGTTATAAACTCAGTTATTTTGTAAATTTAGATTTAAGTCATGATCTTTAACTGTTTAGTGAATACACTTTTTTGCCAGTAAAAAAAACTCTACAAATGTCAAAGGCAGGGCAGCCATCAGGGCATGACAACAATGACAGTTGTCATGGGCCCGGCAGCCCTGGGGAGACCGGACTACTCCCTATGTGCACATATAGATAGCGATTATCGCCCCCAGCTACCTGTACACGAAAGAGGGGGCCCAGCACATGCTGTCTTAACCTTGTAGGTGATCTTCCCACTCTAAACCTCGCAAGCTCCGCAGCAGTCAGAGCGTTGCCACAGGTTACCATGGCAATACTCCTCACGGCACGCAGACAAGACCAGTGAGAGTCAGAAGAGCTGCTTGAAAGTTAAGAGAGCATGGGCTGGGTCCCCTCTGTCATGTGCTGCGGCTGGCTCCCTCCACCATGCCACCGGACCATCAAAGAATATATATCCACCTACGCTCCCTCGACAGGTAAGAAGTAGGGAGAGGGGAATAAATTTTTTTTTAAATACTCAAATAAATGTAAAAAACAAAAATGCTCTTTATTCTACACATAACGTAGCTTGTATTTTACACACAGTTTGCAGTCACTACACACACACTACATCCTTACACAAACATACACTCTGCAGTCAGTACACATACACTACATGCCTAAACATACTCTGCAGTCACTACAAGCACACTCTGCAGTCAGTATACTCACACTACATGCTCACACATTCTGTATTCACTACACACACACTACATTCAATACACACTATGCATTCACTACATAAATTTACTCTGCAGTCACTATACACACGCTACACAAACACACTCTGCAGTCACTATACACACACTACATCCAATACAAAAACACACACAACACTATATATATTACACAGACATACTATCTGCATTGACTATACGCACTGCATCCACCAAACACATTCTACATCCACTATACACACACCACATTCCGTACACACACTTCATCCTTGTGGACAGTCTTGGGGCGAGCCCTGTGGGCGGACTTGGGGGTGAGTGCCTCTGGGCGGACTTGGGGGCAGGCCCATGGGTGGATTTGGGGGCAGACCCCAGGGGTCCAGACCTTGAGCTGCTGACAGGTGCCTTATAATTTCTGAATGCAGCCCTGGTCAAAGGTATTGGAAAAAATTCTGTTGATTCGTATAGCTGACTTATAGTCTATATATGAGAAATTATAATTTGTACTCAAGTAGAAAATTTGGAACAAATCAGTGTTTAATAGTCCACATAAGTGATACAGACATGTCATTGTATTTATAAGAACACAGCTTCATTGCACCTCTATTAACAGCTGAAATATAAGAAGGGTTAGAGGGGCATTAGCGTAAAATGAAATTAAGAAGAGCTAAGGGGAAGATTGATTTATGAGGTTGAATAGGAAGAGGATTAGGTTAGGGGGTCTTAGGGATAGTTAGGGGACTTGTTTGAGGTAATCATGGATGAGATTTATAGGTTTTACATTCCTTAGCATATCAAAGCAGGTCTCTAAATGAAGTTGTTATGGTGCCAGGAGGCCAACAGATGCACTCTTACCTTCAGGGATTAAATTATTCTCAAACAGTTTAACTTCAGATTTGCCTCCAGCGCCGATCTCAACTCCCCCTAGGCAGCATTCGGCTTTTAAAATCTCAGTTCACTAAACTGGCTTGAAAAAGGTATGTTTATTTTCAAGCCATTAGATGAAGTTGTTATGGAACCTAAAGGTCCTTGATAATTCAACTCTACCCTCTTCAAGCCTAAACATTTCCCTACCTTAACCCTAGCTACTCCAAAACTGACACAGAGTACACTTCTGTTCTCAAGGTTATTACTATCCTAGCAGCCTACTTTTCTACCCTACCCTTACCTTTTGTGTAACTATACCCCACTCCCTCTAGCATGTAAGCTCAATGAGCAGGACTCCTTAATCCCTCTCTTCCCGTGCATCCAATTTGTTTGGTTACAAATACTTGTTGGTTGGTCCACCCATTGTACAGCTCTTCGGAACTTCATAAATAATAATTATTGTTATTACAGCACTTGGTACAGCAGTACAGTTGGAGTACTTATTACACTATATATGGCATATCTTCTGTTGGTTTGTAATAAGGATGGGGTGGGTGACTTGTGTCACTAGCGATGCCTGAAATAGGCGTTTAACCCAGAGAGGCTGCATGTCAGCCAGGCTGACCAACAGCCCTCCTGCCAACCCAAGCCAGGCAAACCATGCCATGCTGAAGCTCTGTAGTCCTAGTGTTCTCAGTAGAGTGTGTGATTAATGCACTATTGCTGTAGTATCTACGGTACCTGGGACACCAGGAAAGAAAAGCAGGACAGGAGTCGAACATCAAAATCGGGACAATTGTGAGGCATGAAATGGTACTCTAAGATGTTGAGGTCTTTTTAATGTGGCAACATTACAGCCTTGCTAAAAAAAATATAACATTGATAATAAAAACTGGTACAAAATGAGAACTGGTGATGAACTGTACAATTTAAACACAATTTCACTATGTATGATGTATGCATATTTCTTTAAAAGCAAAAAAGTGACATATGACATCACATATTCTGAATGTTACTGGATAAAGTAACAAGATCAGGTATTGAGTTTGAATTAGAATAGGATAGAGAGAATATTTAATTAGTTGGCCACATTTTTTTTACTGATGTCAAGCTTTCAGAATGTTTGTAAATAATATGTGATTTCTGTCTGTTAATATGTGATTTATGCCAATATCTAAGGTGTATAGACAGTTTACTATTAACCCCTTCATGATGGAGTCAATAGTGCACATTCTGATCAAAACAAAAAAAAGCTGGAATTTGCGCTATATGTCTGTTCAACCGTAATTCGTCGCTGTCACATTAAGTACACCCACACTTATTATATATCATTTTGTTCAGGAGAAACAGGGCTTTAATTTATCATGAACTAATCATATATGGAACATAATTTATTATGAATAAAATAAAAAAAAATGTGAGAAAATAAGATTTCTTTTTAAATTTGTATTTCCGTCTGACATTTTAGCTCTGAATGTCATAATACTGTTAGGTTTTACTGCAAAAAAATGCACATATTTGTAATCAGCGATGTCTCACGAGTACAACAGTACCCCCCATTAACAGGTTTTATGGTGTTTTGGAAAGTTACAGGGTCAAATATAGAACGTTCCATTTTCAAATTGAAATTAGCCAGATTAGTAATGTTACCTTTGAGACGGTGTGGTAGCCCAGGAATGAGAATTACCCCCATAATGGCATACCATTTGAAAAAGTAGACAAGCCAAGGTATTGAACGTGGGGTATGTTTAGTCTTTTTTTAGTAGATACTTAGTCACAAACACTGGCCAAAGTTTACGTTCATATTTGTTTTTGTGTGAAAAAAAGCAAAAAACTAATATTTGGCAAGTGGCTACTAAGAAAGACTGGACATACCCCACTTGCAATACCTTGGGTTGTCTACTTTTGCAAATGGTATGCCATCATGGGGGTAATTCTCATTCCTGGGCTACCATACGCTCTCAAAGGCAACATAACCAATCTGGCAAATTTCAATGTCAAAAAATTAAATGCAAGCCTTATATGTGACTCTCTAACTTTCCAAAACACCATAAAACCGGTACATGGGGGGTACTGTTATTCTCAGGAGATTTCACTAAACACAAATATTAGTGTTTTAAAACAGTAAAACATATTACAACAATAATATAGTCCATAAAAGTGCCATTTGTTTGTAAAAAAAAATGCAAAAAAATGCACTTTTACTTAAAATATCATTGTTGTAATACAATTTACCAGTTTGAGAGACAAATATTTGAGTTCAGCGATGTCTCCTGAGTAAAACAGTGCCCCCTATGTACAGGTTTTATGGTGTCTTGGAGAGTTACAGGGTCAAATATGGTGCTTGCGAATTAAATTCTCTGCACTTTCTCCCCGTGTTGTCAGGAATGTCAATCAAATTTTAATTAATCAAATCACATAATTATGTTAAAAGATTACTTCAATATATATGTAGAATTTTAATATATATGCATGTATAGGTATTTAAATTCTACGTGTATACTAATGTAATCTTTTATGTAACTATTTGTATTTATCTATATATATATATATATATATAAAAACCAAAGAAAAGGAAAAGTTACCTGCGCTCTCTCCTTAATCCCTATGTATATTTAGACAAATGGAGGTCATTTAGTTGCTCCAATGGCCATTGGAGGGAATGCCCGCCTGCCAACGTCAAGGCAGACCCCCCTAAGCGGGTCCTAACACTGACCCTTCAGCCTGCTTCCTTGAGCTTCTGGCAAAGATATCACTAATGAGACAGAGAGGGGTATTTTTTATATACACCCCTATATACTTATTAACCCTTAATAGGGAACACATGGGATTGGCGGCAGCATTGTTAGCCTTGATACAATACTATTAAGGGTTAATAAGTATATAGGGGTGTATATAAAAAATACCCCTCTCTGTCTCATTAG